CTGGGCTTGAATACAGCTTGAAAAATTTCCAGCTCTACAAGAGCAAATCTACCTAAACAAACCATGAGACTACTGCAAGCCTATGATTTCAGAGTCATTGTGGAGCTGAACCTGTCTCACAGTCTGGTTTTTGTTCTTTATTAATCATTTCCATGGGCCTTTGCACTTTTGAATTCCAGCGTGACTGGAAGCAGCAAACGCTGGAAACCTCAGAAAGCTTTTCAAAGTGTGAAACCCCCACTGCCTGGAGAAGGTTTAATGCACTTCAAGTTTGCATTCAGACATTCAGGGGCTGAGCCAAGTAGTCGCCCCTCTCAGACACTCAGGATGTTCACCTGTCTGAGAGTTTTCAACCTGAAATCCAGGCTTTCATCTTGAAGAATCTTTTGCAGAAGCAGGACCAAGAGATCACCAGTTGCAAAGGAGTGATGGGGCTGAGACGGTGCCCAGAGAACAGCTCATGATAGCAAACTATCAGGGCTGCTGATGCTTTTTTCACTAAACACCCACTTCTCATCCTTTCCCAGGGATCTCCTAGGCTCCAACACCCTCATCCCGTAATCAGATTGAGCAAAGCGTGCCTGGCATTCACTCTGCAGATAGACACAACTCAGGCAAGGTTTAGAAAGTCCCAAGTACTGCCAAACTCAAATGTGGGTGAGCAAAGCTGCCTCTCAGCCAGGAGAGTCGGAGCGTGCACAGGAAAGAGCCTCCCTCCCTCCCTCCCTTTGCTATTTTATTCTCCAGGCATACAATGAGGACTATTCTCTCCTGGAAAGAGGAATCCAAAACACTCCAGCATGCCATTGATCGACTGCAGAGGGAAGGTATGGATTCTCCTCAGCCAGCCAGCTTCCCATGGAAGCAGCCGTGGAGAACTGGTGGAGCTGAACCAAGAGGAAGTGGCGCCGGTGGCTCTCTGGAGCTTTCAGAGCCGGCGTTTCCGACTGACTGCCCCCCTCGCTCCTCCAAACCCCTCGACCAAAAACCCCGCATTCACTGGCCAGGCGGGACAGGAAATGAGAAGAAAAACCCTCTCCCTGTCACCATCCTCTTTGTAAAACCACCACCCACCAAAGCAACGGCACAGCCTTCAAAGTGAAGCCGGGCCCTGGAAGGAGTTGGCTGGGTTAGAGACAAGAGCTCTGACATAGTCAAGGGCTCAGCATCTCCCACACGGCACAGGATTCCCGTGTCTTTCATCCTGCTTTGGTTTTAGAGCGAGGCCATGAGGAAAAAGAGAGCCAGGAGACAGTGGGGCTCACAGGCTGCTCCATGAAAACACATCCTGCATTTAGCTGGTATGGTCTCAGGTATTTTACCAGCCCTGGGTGAAAGGAAGCAAAAATTATTAAAATGCTCTCCAGAGGAAGTTCATGGGGCTGTCATGGGTAATCTTGAGCTGAACAGTCGTTACCCAGGACAGCAAGGGACAACAAGGTTGCAGTGGGATGCCTGGAGGAAGGGAGAAGCCTTTCCTTCCTTCTCACACCTGATCACTGGTGACCAGGGATATGACCCAAGGGAATACCATGAAGCTGAGTCAAGGGAGGGTTAGGTTGGATATCAGGAAAAAGTTCTTGCCCCAGAGGGTGGCTGGCACTGAACAGGCCCCCCAGGGCATTGGGGACGGCCCCAAGGCTGACAGAGCTCAAGGAACATTTGGACAACGCTCTCAGGGACAGGGTGGGATTGTTGGGGTGTCCTGGGAAAGGCCAGGACTTGCACTCAATGATTCTTGTGGGTCCCTTCCAGCTCAGGAGATTCTATGATTCACAACATGTGAACCTATGGTAATAACACTCTATAGACCTAAATCAAAGCAGCCTGTTTGAGGACATCCCAGAGGATGCCTTAATCCAGTCTGGGACCCCTCATCAACCCGTGGCAAGTGCTGGGACCAGCAGGGCTCTCCCATCTCAAAGCCCACCTTTATCCAGCTTCAGCAGGGCTGGGAGGTGAGACACAGCCCAGCTCAATGGTTTCACTCTCCTGGGACTCCCACAGCCCAAGCCCTGAACAACGAGGACATTCCAGATGTCATGTGCCCATCGGACTAAAACCCACGGCACCACCCGACGGACACGGAGCTGATGGGAACAGATCTCGGAGAGCTGGTGGTGATGGAGCTGTGACCCCGAGCTGCAGAGAGACCCACCCTGCCCATGACTTGGGCTCATTGTTCATCCCGATTCCCCGCTGCAGGAGATGCAAATGTGCCTGTAGGTGGCCCAGAAACACTGGCTTATTAAAAAGAAAAAGGGAGGGGAAAAAAACCCCCAGAATGAATGCAGCGTCTGTCACCCTTTTGCAGAATTGTTATTTTTTTTGTCTGTAGTTGGTGCTTGTTTTCCAAAGATTTACATTTTTATGTGTGTGTCATTCGCTTTTCATGCATTTGGAGACCTCAGAGCTTAGAAATTCAAAACACTTGTCAGTCACGTCAATCCTTTTGGACAAAACAGAGCTGCCACTTGGATGGGTAAAAAAAACCCACAACAAAACAACAAACAAAATGCACTTTTCTCTCAAGCTGTGACTCGGTCACCCTGCTCAATGCAAGCAAGACAATGTTTAGAGAAAGCAAAAAGAAAGATCTGAGTTTTCATACTCATCGGTGGAACTAAATTGATTAAGGTCATTTCCTAGGTAGGTTTGAAATCTTCTGCAACAATTTTTTTTTTTTTTTTGAAAAGAAAAAGAAAAGTGTCCCCTCCAAAAAAGGGAAAAGTCACTACTGCAAAAACATTAAATCTGCTTGGGTAACTCAGAATATATGTTGGCAAGGCAACATATCTCAGCTTGAACAGTAAACCTGCTATGTCAGAGGCTCTGCCACATATGAAAGAGACTTGGGTTTCAATATATCATGCTGAATTTACTTCTTTTCAGCCTTTCATGGCAAAGTATTTGATGTCTCTCCTTTCACTGTTGCAATCGATAGGGTAACCTTATGTAAAAGTTTCCTGACCTTTGCTGTTGTAGGTATTGTTCTGTTAAAATGTAATTTAACTCTTTTTCTTTAGTCTGGAAATAGCACTGTACAGAGAGCAAACATGAGAGGGGGCTGGGATTTTTCCCCTGTTAACCTAAAGGCAAGAGGCAACATCCATCATCAGAGCTGGCTTCAAACCAGCTGATGTCAAGAAGCATCATCTGCTGAGAGCCTGGTTGGTTTCCCAGTGCTTCCCTGTAAAGATATCGACCTGCCTGGTAAGGTAAATAACTGAAAAAGCCTTACTCTGATGCTCACTCCAGTGCCATCCTGCTCAAGATTTTAGGACTGAGTGGCCTCCCTGGACTCACATCACTGGGATGTTGGTATCTCTTTGGCCCTATGAAGTTTTCACAGTTCCAGGATAGAGAGCTTTAGCAAGGGCCTCACACGTATTCCACATGATGCCAGAAAAACAAATAGATGGAGACTTACATGAAAAAAATGAATTGTTTTCAAACAGCAACTACCAAAGTGGAAGGAGACGGATTTTTCTCGTGACAGTGGATGCTACAAAATCAGCCACATGTTTTAGTGTTACAGCTGGATTATCCAGCCCAGGATCTTTGTGAGCCTGGTTTCAATCACATTATAACCCTTTAATGCAAGTACTTCTGTGAAAGCAAACTCACACTGTTCTTGTCTGTTGTTCTGCTGTTATTACATCCTTCATTTGGGCTGGATGTGGGTATTACACTGCATTAGTGATGCAGATGTGCACATCGCCACTCACACCCAGACATTTGCACAGGATTATGGCTAAAATTCCTGATCCTACTTATAAGAAGCCCTATAAATCCAGATAGCTCCTTTTAAATCAGCAGCATTATCCCACTGTAAATCCGGGGTGTAAGTCAGAGCAGACTCTGGCTCGGATGCTCTTCAGCCACACACCATAACGGAGCAGGGAGGCTGAAGCAAACCCTGGGCCTTGTACACATCAGTTCCTCCCAAAACCCATCCCCATCACATCATGCCCTGCTCAGCCCACACCCCATCACCTTTAAAAGTACCAGCTCAACTCTCTCCTCATCCAGAAACTCCCTGAAACAGAATAAAGAGCTGGCTTTGGCAGCGCCACCGCCCCCACGTGCTTCAATATTGCTCACAGCTGAGTTATTTCGTGCTTCTTAGGAACTTAAACTGGCTTTTATGCTCAGTGAACTCATGAAAGGCAAGTATCTAAAGTCAGCAGCACTGAAACGATGAATTAGCACAAGGAGAAAGAGGGCAGTTGGGCGTTCCTTACAGTACATTACCTAGATGGTTGCCAGAGGAGCTGATTTAAAGTCACTGTGCTACACCTGAATGTCGTTTATGGCTCATAAAAGGAAATCTGTGTTTAAGTAACAATAAAGCAGGACTGCACTTTCTATGTAAGAAAAGAAATAAACCCTTTCTCGCAGAGCAGATATATTTTTATTTGCTCAGTGCCTGTCTCAGGTTCGTGGAGATGCTTTCAGCCAGAAAGCCCAAGAGTTAAGCAGGAGGACTCGCTCCAAAGTGGCTTATGCCTGATTTTTACTTATTTTCCACCCAAGTGTTAACAGTGAATTTGAGCTCCTGGCAAAGGCAAGACCTGAACCCTCATGTACAACTGTAGCTGCCAGAGGAACAAAGGAGATCCCCGGGCACAGGCAGCCACAAAGCCACAGCAGGAAAAGCGGGGACCCTTCATAACACAGAATCATTGAGCTTGGAAAACACCTCCAAGGTCACCGAGTCCAACCTGTGCCCAATCCCCACCTTGTCACCCAGCCCAGAGCATTAAGTGCCATGTCCAGTCATTCCTTGGACACCTCCAGGGATGGGGACTCCACCACCTCCCTGGGCAGCCCCTGCCAATGCTCAACTGCCCTTTCCATGAAGAAATTCTTCCTGAGTTCTTCCTGAACACCCCAATTTCCAGAGTTGGGACGTTTGGCCAAACAAAGTGACAGCTGCCATCACATCAATCACTCCAAGTCACAGTCACACCTATCTGCAAACTCCCATTTTCACTCACCTGTTATCTGCTGACAAATTCCCTCATATCAGACTCCAAGGGGTCCATATTCACTTTTTTGGTCTGAGTACAAACACCATCTGGGGTATTGTATCACACGAAGCCATGAGGAAAGCTTCCTAGAACACAGACATGTTTTTTCCTATTATACCTCTACTACAGTTTGATTTTGGGGAATTTTTTACATGAAAACAAAGTCCTAATGAGAAATATGCAACAGTGACAAACTCCATCCTTCTGTCCCCCTGCACTGTTCTGCACTCCACCCATCTCCCACCCTCTGCCCACTACCACCCTCACCACAGAGTCATGGCCACCTCAGGGCCACCCACCAGTGCTGATCCCTGGAGAGGACCTTGTTCCCCTTTCCACAGCCCAGTGCTGCTGGTGTGTGGGGGTGCTGCCTTCCAGCTCCCCTCGTCCTCTCAAGGGCCAAGGAGACAAGATGATGGGTGCTCAGCCTCAGGTCATTCCTTCTGAGGAGCTGGAAAGGACCTGTGTGTGCACAATACAGCTGTTGGTCAAGGTCCTGACCTTTACCTGCTCTCTGTCTGACCCTGCTTTTGCAAAAAGGCACTGTCCCACCACGATCCACCTCACCAAGAGGCCTGGAGACTTTATCAGTCTGGTCTCTGCAGCAGGTCTGCAGGATCTCCCCAACACTCAGCACCACCCAGGGTATCTCCAGGGTTGACACTGTGCTGTGAATACCAAACTGCAGAGAGAAAAAAAATATCCATGAGTTTCTGCCAATCCAAACCAGCTACAGTACCACGTGAAAACAACACACTGTCTGAGAGGAAACCTGATCTGAAACAGTTCTGCTGCTCCAAACTGAGCAAGACCCCGTAGGTGGATGGGAAGGGGGTGCCAGAGACATATCCAGCACCTTTGGAGAGGACACAGAGCGATGCTGAGGCATGGGAAACAATGCCCAGCTAAAGCAGGAAATTAATATCTCAGCATTAACCAATTTTATCTGTCAGCATGAGGGAGCACTTTCCTTGCAGTTCAGCAGTACCTCAAGAAAGGCTCACAGGAAGCTCAAAACATCCACTGCTTATAAGAAGCATCAGCACAGAAAGTTACACTGGCATTCCATTGTCACAGCTATGCCAGCTGCCCTTCTCTGCCAACAGAAATCCTCTCTCTTTTGGGATTTCTCCCCATCTGGGGACGGACCAGTGCTTTCTTAGCGACACCAGCACAACGAGGGGATGGCAGATTTGGCAGTGCTGGTAAACATCTATTTTTACAGCCTGACCTTCAAGGAGGCAGTAACGGAACACGGAGAAAGAAACAAAAACACAGTCAAGATGTTTTGGCAGTTGGGATCACAGAGAGAGGAGGGCATGCTTGGATTTAACAGGAATTGAAGCGCAGCCTTCACAGTTAGCGCTGTGCTGGAGCTGTAAAACACTCACACCAGCGGCGGCTGGGAGACATCACCGGGTTGACATTAAATACCTTGTCCTGAGACAGCCACGACTCGAGTGCTTCGCTGGCCTAAAGCTCCACTTCACGGGTCCCACAGCAGCTGCATCCTGCCCGTGCAAACCATAACAAAGGGAAGAGGAGATAAAAAGGGATTTAGTGCTGTCAGGACCACTAACCCCCCAATTCCATCACAAGCAAAACCCATGGAGCACTGAACCTGGATTAGTCCAAATATCCGCTCCATCTGCACGCTTGCGTAGTTTTCCTCCACGTGTTTATTCCTGAGCTAGAAAAACACAGCTTTTCATCACTCCCAACGGTTTTCACCTTATAAATCCATCAGTTTTACCTTTCCCAACAGCACAGCCCTCCACAGATCTGCTCCTCCCCAGTCACCACACACCGGTGCCGTCTCACACTCCTCCATCAGTGGTTTCTGGCCACTGCCAGCAAACACCAGGAAAACACCGACTGACCTGTCTGCTCCTGCACCAAAGGACAGAGGGTGGCCTTGGGATTTCTTCTTTTTGTTTTTGTTTTTTTTTTTTTTAGGAGGAGGAGCATGGCAAGTCAAACCACTGGCAGGCATAGCTTTTTTTTTTTGCAGATCTTTATTTTAAAAAAATAACTTACAAATAGAGACAACTCTCAGCAGTAAGATCATTCATTCTGTGCAGAAGGACACACCTTGGTGAAGCAGGGGCACAGGAGTTAATGACTCTGACAATACTGTTAATTTTAACATGATGGCAGCTATATTACACTACATACATTTCATGCTCCAGACATGTGGGTATGACACCACATAAAGCTACGGTCGATAAAGTGTGTCAGCCAGGGAGGATGCACCTAAGAGACCATTTCCATTCTGGTTATCAGCATCCTCTTGAAACCAAACGGCAATCTAACACTCAGACTACAGCACTCTGGATACACTCATCAGCAATATACTTCAAATACATGATAAAAATATATTTAACTTTCAAATACAATTGTATAAGGTACACCAAGAGCCAGAAAATAAAGTCTTGAGCTTTTAAATACAACACACTATATATAAAAACATATACAAGGAGACAAGAGGGAATCTAGACGTGGAAGGAAAAGCTTATCCTGGAAATGTGTGTTATTTGTGGTACACAATGGCTTTGTCTGCTAGGAAGTCATTTCCATTTGCATAGCGTTGTTGAGAAGTCCAGACTGGGCTAGGAGGAGGAAAGGTTTTAATTTTGGTACCACTTCCACTTCGCAACTGATTCTACTCTTAAATTACACTTTGCTCTCTCTTTTGTAGGCTGGAATTCATGCCCCGTTCATAACAAGCACATGGGAAGGAGGGAGTTAAAAAATAAACAACAAACCACAACACACAAGGAAACACCAGGTCAGAGAGTCAGGGAGGTTTCTTCATGGGGTTGCAGTCATTTGGCATTTTGCTCCAGAGCAGAGTATTCTGCTTCCGACACCCTGGAAGCGTCGATGAGTTTAGTGAGACCTGTTTTGGCAGAGTACTTGAAAATAAAGGCTTTCATGAGCTCGTATCGGTAGTTGCGGTTGATGAAGCTGTACAGGATGGGGTTGACGCAGCAATGGACCAGAGAGAAACACTGAGTGATGTGGAGAGTGGCGTACAGGAAGTTCTCCATGTGACAGCTGAAGGGGATGAAATGAAGGCTGTAGAAGATGTCAAGCAGGACAGCCACGTGGTAGGGCAGCCAGCAGACGAGAAACACCACCACGTAGGAGAAGATGATCTTCCCGTTGCTCTTCCGCTCTTGGTCACTGGAGGCAGAGATGGTCTTGGCAAGGAGGAAATAAAAGACAGCAATGATGGGAAAGGGGATAAGAAAGCCCAGCACGACAGAGATGAGCTCCATGCCAATCAGCCACTCTTTGAAGCTCTCCTCCGGATAGACGGGGCGGCAGTAGGTTTCATTGCTGGAAGAGACCGTCTTGAGGTAATAGGTGTCTGGGAGGGATGCGGAGAAGGCCAGGAGCCACACCAGGATGCAGATGCAGCGACGGATTATCTTCTTCTTGCGATTGCTGGAGTTGGTGAAATAGGCCACAGACAGGTAGCGGTCCACACTCATGCAAGCCAGGAAGAAGATGCTGCTGTACAAGTTGATGGAAAATATAAGGTGAGTTATCTTGCACGTGATTTCCCCCATGTGCCACTGGTTATGCTGGATGAGGGAGACGACCCACACAGGGAGGGTGATGACGACGCACAGATCGGCGATGGCCAAATTGAAGATGTAGAGGTGGGTTTCATAGCCAGTCATTTTGGCTTGGAGGTTGACCCACACCACAACCGAGTTGGCCACCAGCCCTATGACAAAGATGAAAATGTAGAAGAAGGACAGGGTGTAGAGCAGGGCGCTTTTGTTGAGCGTGCCAGGGCATGTTGTCGCATCCACCGTGATGCAGTCGCCGTTGCTGCACGTCCAGTTGATCTCGGTCAGGTTGGCTGTTTCCAGGAAATCAAGGATGGATGTCAAATCAAGCGCGCTCATGTTCGCTCAGTTTGGAGTTCGAGTGACCTACAGGCCAGACAGGATTGAAAGAAATCACATAAGTTAACAGGTATTTCTGCCACCATTTCGTACCACAAAGCGCGCGCAGGACGGACCATTTCAGTAACATCCTACTCTTGTCCACTAAAGAGCTCCGTGGAGCAAAACAACCAAGACACTTCACAAAACTCATCCGGGTTGACCGAAGAGGAACAGCGCTATTTTCTTTTTGGTGTCTTTTTCTTTCTTTTTTCCTTTTCTTGCAGCTCACATCTGACATCATCAGGTTGGCTATGGTCCCCGGGTGTGAAATCTGCAAAGTACACCGTGGCCAAATAAATGTCAGGCGACTAAATCTGTCTTCTGCAGCATAAATGATGATACTATCGCTTTCAGCAGGGGAATCTTTAAGCCATTTTATCTGCACTCCCTCAAGCGTAGTAGAATTGATCTGGCTGATACATGGTACCGTAAAACATTTACCACAGGCTCTGGGCAGCATCTTGTCAAGTCCAGCTCCAGCTGCATTAAGACGAAATGGCGAACTAAGGGGCTTTGTATCTCTATCCAATTTTAAATTTAAATTCTGCTCCATCCTCCCCCCTTCTCTTGAGTTCTATTTTACAAAGTATCCCCTGCATTTAATGATTATTACATAGCTTTGAGAAAAGAAAAAAAAGTCAGAACTTGACTGCTGAGTAGATCTGCTGGGCTTAAGTTTTCTTTTTAGAAGAGTGCTTTGATTTAAAAACACTCCCCCATCACAGTTGGCTCCACAACTGCCTCTTCCCCACCCTTTTGCTTTTCTACATCTACTTTCCTTGCCTTTTTTGTGCTTTCTTCTACCTGCAGTGGAAAGCAAGGGGTTCCTTGTTAACTTCCTCACCAGCAGAAGGAAGGGACCCAGCAGACTCTCACGGCCTAGGCAAAATCTAAAGCAGGGCTCCTAATTGCTGTTGTGCTTTTGGAGCAGCTTAAAAAATGCTGTCCCTGCCACTGGGACCCTCCCACCTCACAGGGCCCACAGTACCACCCCCCCAGCAACAGCCGGCTGCCTTGGCTCGTGACCACCATGCTCCAGTCAAGCAAGCTTTGGAGTGCCCTGTCTGCAGGCTCTGGCTTGGAGCACACCAAAGTAAAGATGGAGAGGTGGGTTTACAAAGGATGGATCCCACCTTGATCCCTCATGGTTTCACTTGAGGTGGAGGATCAGGTCAGCCAGCGCACCCACAGCCTCCACCATGGACGCTTCCAGCATCCCAAACAATGGTCACCTTGCTCTTCCCGCACCCACAGCCCCAGCAAGGTGAGGTACCCACTGATGCTGCCCCAGCATGACCGAGGGGCCAGAGAGCAACAGGGATCTCTGAACATCCTTGATCCCACCACAGCACCTCCTCGTGGGGCTTACAGGAGCACAGAGGGGAGAGCGAGCAGGGAAGAGCTGGGACAGGTTCCCTCTTCTTGTCCCCAGAAAAGGGATGTTGGTTGACACAGCACCTCTCACTGCTCCATCTGCATAATTGGCTCTTCCCAAAGGTCCCGCCCTCCCTGCCTGACAGGGATACAGGCTAGGAAGAGAAGAGAGATAAGGGGGGAGATAAGGCACTATTGTCCCAGCAGAGGGGAAGCCGGTGGCACTAACAATGAGGGGGGCCATGCACACATTCAGGGGAGATCAAATCTCTGCACAAACAGGCCCAAATCAGCCCCACGAGGAGACCTTTCCTATGGCTTTCATCCTGCTGGCCTGATGAAAGAGCTGAGATTCAAACCAAATTAAACACGGATTTTGCTAAAACACTGGTTAAAGAGGGAGCGGCAACAGTGGCAGCTCTCTGTGCTGGGACAGACGATCCTCCAGCTCCACCTCAGGAAAGCAGAGAACCATTTAACCCATGCTTACGCAGGGCAGAAGAGCTGATGCTCCCCCCCAAGAGACACAGGCCCCCCTCAAGCTGCCTGTACCATCCTACTGGTGCAGGCAGCTGGGATGTGCACTGCCCAGGCACAGCTCCCCTGGATACTTGCTTCATCCCAGGGCTGCCAGTGGGA